AAATAGTACGACAGCATTCAATGAACATGAGATATTATTCAAAGAACATGAGGTACTTTCAAGATGCAAAAGCAACAAAAACAGTACCAAAAACCAGAACCATTGTCGCGCGGACAGAGCCGGGAAGGCTAGGACAAATGAAGGGACCAACAACGTAAGTTGGAAGAACAGTGACAACTTTCAATCCATATTGTTGGGAAAACTCAAGAGCTGCTCTTTCAGATAATGTCTTGGAAATGGAGTAAGATCTTAAAAGTGGAACGTTATTATTAATGAAATCAATGTCACTCTAACAGCTTTCATCCAGAAAATCTACTTTCTTGTGATTAAACTGCATACAGGTTACACTAGAAGTGTATACAACTCGCCTTACTGTTTTCGAAGTCAAGCAAACTTTCAAGATGCCCAATGTTCCATCGATGGTTCTTCGTGCCACTGCTTCGATAGGTTCTTTGTCCTCCACATCAACTGGAGTAGCAAGATGAAAGACTCCAATGCAACCCTCAATGGCAGGAGCAAAACTGTCCGGGTGGTCGAGATCAGCATGGTATATCTGGAGTTTTTCTGATGCCCATGGTAGATTTGTCAAAAAGCTATAGTCTCTTTTCTTCTCTGCTCAATGTTAAAATGTAAACAAGTTTAGATAAGGAAATCGAGCTAGGAAATAAGCTCACTCCTAAGAATCTTCTCTGTTCTTTATGAAAATGTAAATAAGCTCACACGAAATTTCCGGAGAAATGATTCCATCTCTAATGTTTATCCTTTGATTTTTTTCTCATGTAAGTTTTYCAGTCTTCAAGTTGGTCTTCGAATTTTCTAGTGTTCAACAGATTCTTCAATTTGGTGTGAATTCAATTCTGAACCCAAAATGAATGAGGTCCTCTCAGGTTTACATAGGCTTCGTGGACCATTGGGTTGGGTACTTTTGGGTCAAGCCCAATTCTTTAAATGGATTTATTTAAATTTAAATATTAATCCACTTTATTTCATGGTAAATTGGGTTTTGTGCCAAGATTGTGAACCAAATCGATTCCAAGCCCAACACTCATATGACTCAATTACATATTTTAATTGTCAACTTATCTTTAATTTTAATTTATGGTTAATATATAATTAATTCCTAAATAAAATAGATAATGACGTAACCGTTTATGATTGGCCCAAATTTTTTGGTTCTACAGGGACAACCACAAAGAATTGGTGTAATAAGAGAAGGTTTGATATGGATGGCTAAAAGTGCACTAAAATTTGTATCTATTCCGTCAAAAATTTTAAATATGAATGAAAATATCGATAAAATATTGATATCGATAAATATTTCTRTAAAAGTTAGAATAATTAAAAAATCGTAAAAAATATTTAAATGAATAAATAAYATTTTCTTATTTCTAAATTAGTTAAAAAATAATTAATCTTAATATTATGTATGTATTAGTGATATTTTTCATATTTTGTCGATTTTCTTGTACTATGATGGAAATGTCGATTTACTCCTCATGTTGATGTCGAACCCATGAAAACATGGATATGTCGATSGAAATGTCGATGTGTCGACGAATGTTTAAAATCACGATCCCAGTATTAAATAATTTYCATGGTTCAACATCGACATGAGGAATGTCAAAAGCGAGCATATAGTTGAGCGATAATTRACATCAGCCTCTAGCCAAGAGGTTGTGAATTCGAAACTCTTCCCCACGTGTTGTACTAAAAAAGAYATCGACATGAGGGATAAATCAACATTTCCATAACATTACCAAAAAAAAAATCGACAAAATATGAAAAAAATCGACAAAATCTCACTAATATAAACATAATATCAATATCAATATCAATTATTTTTAATCTATTTATAAATGATGAAATAGTTATTTGTTAATTTAAATAGTTTTTACGAATTTTTTATTTTTATAAATTTTACAAGAATATATATCGACATTGATATTTTATTKGTATTTCCGTGAAATTGAAATCCCGAAATTTTCACCGACATCGATATTTAAAAGTCGGTTTAATATATAAAATTTCAAAAGTTTGAATAACGTGAAGAGTGATTTTATGTAGTCGTACCATTGACTAAATGTTCGTGCAAATAAAAACAAAAATGTTGACTTGTATRCTAAGATGCGGCATACAAAAAATTATATAAGTTTAGCAAATTAAGTGGCACAGACTTCAAAATCATTAGAAAAGGTMGTTGACATTATATTTTATTTTGTTTATTAATAACCGTCTTTTGTCATATGTCTATTCTGTTATGCTAATTAGTAACCGAAGTTCATGAACATAATTGAACCTTTTAAACTTCAAACAGACACAGCTCTCAAAGCTCAGACACTAAATTTGTTAAATGATGTTAAAAAAGGAAGCAGCCAATCGGCCGAATAAGAGCAAGGGTTTGCACAACATTTGCTCAGCTCGAACTCGGTCATTGTCCCGACCTGAAACGTGAAGGGAAGACCTGAACAAGAAGGTAAAATCTCCGACGCTCCAGTCAGTAAACAGCTCGAACTCAATATTAAGTTTGAGAAGAGATTTGATACCTGATAGTGAAATGAGGCTCTCTATTTATAGGTTTAGGTTCCGACAGGGGTCGCGACAGGCGGTTAYTTTGGTCGGATTTGAGGTCGGATGTGTCGGGTTCGAGCAAATCGAACTCAGACACTTTCTAAGTTATAAATTGTTTGGGAGCTACGAGCTCCCATATCGGAAGGTTCCGAGAAGGAGCCTTGCTGACTAGCTGTTCCGGACAACCTTTTTGATAATCAATCCCCGTACTCCACGTGGCGGTCAAATATTTTATCCCCGAACACTAAGATAATAAGTATTCATGGATTTACTTTTGTAATTATTCAAAAKGTCTCGTATGAATAAGATATTGTCCTAGATCACATTTTACCTRATCAATGYASGACAAACACTTGCAAATGAGTTTTATGATGTGAGAATTAATTTTAATTGTTAAATTATGTTAGTGTTTTTTAGTACCACTACAAGAATTTTAGGTTTTGGYGACGCACAAATTCGTCGTCGAAAGCAACATTTTTGTCGTCGAAGGTCTTCGRCGACGAAATTAGTTCGTCGCCCAAGTCGTCGCTGTAGGGTTGTCACCAGAGGTTTTCGGCAACAAAAGACAATTTTTGTCGTCGAAAATRTCTTCGGCGACGGATTGGCAACGACAAAATTTCGTCACCAATGAGAKCTTCGGCGAYGAAACWWWGTTTCGTCGCTGATTATACTTTCGGCAACGAAATTAACATTTTGTCGCCCAATGTTTCATCGGTAACGAAACATTCGAAATGTTGATTTCGTCGCCRAAGAGGGTTTCGATAATGAAATGGTTATTTATCTAACATATAATTAAATTGATGTACTTRGAGGATTATTTATTCGCTACTGTATTAATCATTAACATCATCTATACTATTGTCAGTTGACGCGTCCAATACATCGTCTGATTCGTCATTTATAAAATCATCCATATTGCGCATATGTATGCTTCTATTTGATTGTTCTTGACCCTCAATGACAACAGGATCAACATCATCTCGATGCATTGAACTATCTTGAGTRGATTCATCTACTTTGATCTTGGGTCCYACTTCGAACAATGAAATATGATAATCATTTCCAGCGTCTTTTTGTCATGGAATATCCCATACGTTTATTTAGAGTATTTTGAACAACTTTCCAATTATTACCAAGTTTGGGGTCATCCAAATAAAAAACTTGTTGTACTTGACCAGCGAGAATTAATGGGTCGTCTGCATACCAATAATTAGACGTATTACCAAATTTCAGCGACGATTTCTAAAAGTCGTCGCCTAAAGTCTAGGCTGGACGGCCAAGCTTGGACTTTAGGCGACGACATTAGTTTTCGTCGCCGAAAGTTATCAACATCAGCAACGAAAATYAATGTTTGTCTTAAAATTGGACTTTCAGCGACGAAACTTAATTTCGTGGCCGAAAGTACCTACTTTCGGAGACAAAACTTAATTTCGTCTCTGAAAGTGCTTACTTTCGACAATGCAAACTGATTTCGTCTCCGAAAGTAGGCACTTTCAGAGACGAACTTCAATTGCATCGTTGAAAGTCCAACTTTCGACTTTTAGCGACGAAACTTAATTTTGTCGCTGAAGGCCACTTTTGGCGACGATATTTAAAAATTGCTTCGCCGAAACTTGAAATTCTTGTAGTGTACAATATGTGGGAGTGGGGATCAAACTCACATATTTTTTTATTGAAGATATATGTCAATTACCGTTGAATTATGTTCGGATTAAATCATGTTAGTCGAAAAACATGAGTTTGGTTAAGATTTTAATGCATTGTTTATATGGAAAAGAAAAGCATGGGAGAATTGAAAAGGATTTGAGCCTAGAAAAAATTGGTAAAAATTAATTCCTCTTTGGATATTTCGGTTGAATCTTACGAACGAGTCATTGGTGGGTTACTGGACAAAAATACTTTTACAAAATTATATAAATTTATATAATTTTGATATCTATATCTATATTAAATAATTACAAATGTGTTCATTTATTCTTAAGATTAATTAATAATTAATAATTTTCTTTTTAATTCTTTAAATTTAACTAAAAAATAAATTAAAAACAAAGATTATTGGTAAGATTGTAATTTTTAGAGGTTAAAAAATGGTGTGATGCCGCACCGTCCTGTAGAATTTATGCTATCTCTATGTTAATTATTCTTTATGTTGCATTTCTTCGATTATTTTGCTTTTCTTCCGTTAGTTAAAGTGTGTGTAAGCTGATCAATTAATAAATTTATTTTCACGAATTGAAATTTACTATTAAACTTAAACCGTTTCACATCCTTAATATGAGTTGAGTTCATGTATATATTATCTGTTGGGTACTAACAAAATTAGTCGTCTCTAAAAATAACTAAAATTCGAATTCTCACTCTCATAATTTCAATATAAAAATATGATTTGGTCTTCCTAAAATTAAGGAGCTAAGTATTACCAATTTAAAAAATGGTAAGAAAAAATGGTTTGACTTTCTTATTTCGACTTCTTGAACCGAGGAAGCATTCGGGTTTTGATCATATCCAAAGAAATACAGAAACCGAAACCTGAAAAGAGTTTTTGCAAGCATAAATATGATGTATGACATGGAAAAACAAGTCATATCAACTCGTTTCGTCCTCTTTCTGCAATTGAGAGGCCTTATTAATAGGCTAGAGATGACCCTTTTCTTTGCAGCTTTGGATTGCTCCATCAAATATCTCATTAACTCCATACTTGTATTCGAAACCGATATCCAAAAGCTTCTTCGACGAGATCATACAATTGTTATCTTTGACAAAGCTTTTGACATCTTTCAAGGACCTGAGACCAAGTATGACAAATAAAATTTGTATTTTAAATTTTGAAAAGTTTTAATTACATCTCCGAACTTTAAAATGTGATTCTACATAGTTTTTCTTTTCTAGCTAAACAACTATGAAACGTGTCTAGTGACCAAATATTGGTTAATTTTATATAACATGACATACAAATGATTAAGAATAAAACAAAAAAGTAGTCTCTACCCTCCACTAACTAAAGGTATCATGTAGATGGTGAATAAATAGACACAACTCTTTAAATTTTAAAGGCTCAATAGACACAACTACCAAAATTTACGAACTAAATTTGTAATTTAACCTTTTTTTAATCATTTCATAAAGGAGAAAAAAGACTTGTCATGACCAAGAAACTAATAAGTAGTTGAACTCACTCAAGAGATGGCATTTGAAATTCTGGATATTTGGCAGAAAAGAATTTAGCCAACTCTTCCAATGTCGTTTTGTGGGAGGAGCAAATATATCTTCCGTTGGCATTTGGATGTTCAAAAAGAAAAAGGTGTGCTCTGGCCACATCATCTACATGCACTATGTTTGCATTTAAAAAGAATCCATATAATGCCTCGTTCCCTGCAAATATGAATATTTTGAAGAATGATTTCATTAGATCTCCATCCTTAGCACCATCAATAAAATAGTGACATGTGTTCCTTAAGCTATTCAAATATATGTTAGGTTAGACTAACTCACCAAAAATTAATCTAACGAGCACAACATATCACGTCAATATATTTCAAAGTTTGAAAATGTAGCTACAGCTTTAGTCAATTTATGAATCTCCCTGAACATGTAAAGTTTCAATAGATCTTTAACGTCCAAAAGTGCATAATAAACTTTATTTTCAATGTTGTGTGTAACAAGCCAACTTTAAAAACTGTCAAGTGGTTCAGTTGGGCCGCTCTCAATTTTATCTCTATTAACTAATTAGGTACCAGGTTAGATGTTTTTTAAAGTTTCAATAGATCTTTTAGCGTCTAAAAATGCATAATAAGCTTTACTTTCAATGTTGTGTAACAAGCCAACTTAAAAAAATGTCAAGTGGTTTATTTGGGCTGCTCAATTTTGTCTCCATTAATAATTAGGTACCTAACCTATTAGATATGTTAGATGTTTTTTAAAGTTTCGGGAAAACCTACTCGACATAATCTGAAAGTTCAACGAACCCATTATTTAACAAAGATGCATAGCAAATGAGAGTAAAAAAGCAACATAAACATTACCAAAAACCAGAGCCAATGTCATGCGGACAGAGGTGGGAAGGTTGGGACAAATGAAGGGACCAGTAACGCAAGTTGGAAGGACAGTGACAACTTCCAATCCATGTTGTTGGGAGAACTCAAGAGCTGCTCTTTCAGCCAATGTCTTGGAAATTGGATAAGATTTAAAATATGGTACTTGTTCATTAATGACATCAATGTCACTCCAACAGCTTTCATCCAAAAAATCCACTTTGTTGGGAGTAAACTCCATACAGGCTGCACTAGAAGTGTACACAACTCGCCTCACTGTCTTGGAATTCAGACAAACTTTCAAAATCCCCAATGTTCCATCAGTAGTTTTCCTTACCACAGATTCCACAGGCTCTTGGCCCCCAGGATTTGGATTAGCCACAAGAAACACTCCAATGCAGCCTTCAATGGCAGGGCCAAAACTTTCTGGATCATTCAGATCAGCAGTGTATATATGGAGTCTTTCCGATGCTCCGGGTAGATTTGTCAGAAAGCTATAGTCTCTTTTCTTCTCTGCTCAATCTCAAATCAGTTAGCAAGAGCACTCGTTTCCGGTTTCTTGATTCCAATTTTAAAGACAGTCTCAAAATTGTACAGAAATGAAAACGTTATCCAACGAACCCGAAATAAGCGTACGTCTTGGAATCTTCTCTGTTGTTTATGAAAAATCAAAGTTAGAGAAGTGTGAATAAAGGGGTTTTTTACCTGGGTCGGATCTTACAGTGGTATTGACAGAATAGTCACTCTCCAAAAGCTTCTTCACGAGCCATGAGCCGATGAATCCAGTGCCGCCAGTGACGCAAACTTTCCCCTTAGCCCCACCTTCCATATTTCGCTTTCTGTCTCTCTTTCCACTCCACAGATTCCATTATATTGAGAAATGCAGCCATTTCTTTCCCCTCCATTAAAATAACTGGATCGCTGTAGTCCTCGAGATTGGGTTTAGGGCTTTTTGGCGTTTAGTTTCTCGGGACATTAGGAAACAATGTTCGGGATTAAACAAATAGATAGATCAAAAAAGATTTCTCCTTTTTACGCGGATAAAAAAAAATTCCAGGAAAGGATAAGATTTTAAACGCCGATGTTAATAGAGATGTGTTTCAATTTCATCGAAATATCGATGGTCCATAGAATGTCGATGTCATAGATTTTTTTGTAAAAATTCGAAAAACAAAAGAATCGTAGAAAATTATTTAAATTAACCGATAAACATTTTTCTATTTCTAAATTAGTTAAAAATAATTTAATATTAGTATTATGCATATATTAGTGACATTTTGTTGATATTTTTCATATTTTGTTAATTTTCTTGTACTATAATAAAAAAACATAGATATATCGATGAAATGTCAACATATTGACAGATATATAGAATTATGGGTAAGGGAAATTCGAATATTTGATAGTTTATTATTATTTTTGCAATTTCTTTTTGTTTACAAAATATTTAACCGTAGTTATCACTTTTTAGAGGCCATAGTAATTCTTGTCTGGTGATTGATGGACACTACAGAAATTTGGGGGGAAAATATTCTGGGATTCGCGGTGAGTGCTTCTTTGGCTCCCTTGTTAATTATTATTCTCTTTAAAAATTATCTACTTTTACAATTTTTTTTTATTTATAAGAAAAATTAATCTCGTAGTTACCATTTAACTATTTTTCACATTTAAGTTTGTAGTATGACAAATTAATGGATAGAGCTATATTTTATTTGGGCCAATTATAAATTATCGTGGGTTGAGGGTGAGAATTAGGGTATAGACGTAGGGAGCGCAGGATGACAAGTGGTAGCGAGATCGATCTACTATGGACGTAGGACCAGTAGAAGGGGCGACGCTAAAGCTGGTAGAGGTATGCAAGCGGTGGCGCTAAGCACTCTGTAGTGTGAGAGTTAGAGTGACAAGCGATAGAGGTCATACCACGTGTCAAGAATATGTCCTAATGACCAACTAGAGCATGTACGCGAGCGGGACTTGCTGCGCCAGGCATCCTCCTTGATCTGCTCTGCCACCTATAAAAGACGACAGAACCTACCTCGCGAGGTAAATGATAAATCTAAAATGAAAAATCTATCACTCTATACTAAAGGTGTTCTCCATTTTACTCTTCTCCTTCAATTACTAACTTGATTGTTGGTCTTGAGATCTGTTGTTGTAGGTTCGCTAGTTTGACGGCTCCCATTGAAGGACACGTGGACTTGCTATATTTTGCGATCAACATTCGTAGATTAAAATTAAAGCAAAAATGACAATGCTTGAATAATGCCACATATCTTTTATTAGACTCTTTAGATTTAATTAGTCAAATTGGATCATATGAAAATTGGGCCGATAATCAAATTATTTAAAAAAATTCATGGGATTAGTACATAAATGGTCTATTTATAAATCATAATTACGTAAAATATCAAAAAGTATAGAACTTACACTTTTGTCATGAAATAATCCCGAATTAAATGATACCTATAATACAAATTACTAGTATATCTTTAGGGTCCATCTCAATTTTAAATAATTATTAAAATTTAGAATTGGTAAATTGGGAGTAAAATGTGCCAATGATACTTTCCAAAATTAAAAAATCTCAAAACCCCAAAAACCCATCCATTTTCGAAACACACTCCTTTCTTATTCCTCCGACCGTCTGTTCCTCTTCTCCGACCCTCCGTTCTTTTTCTCCGACCGTCTACCTTCCTCTCCGGCCTACTCTGCCTTTTTTTTTTGTCACAAGAGCCTTTCATCTTCGACCGCCTCCATTTTTCTCAGTTCTTCTCCAGATTAAAAGGTTTGCATTCCAACGGATGTCTTCAATTTCTAATTTGGTGTGAAATATTGTATATGTGAGGATATATAGTATAGTGATTTGATTATGATATATCTTATAACTCAACTTGTATATATGTAGATATGCGGATATATACTATAGTGATTTTGAATGTATATATGCTGATATATAAGTAGATACATCTTATAACTCAAGTTGTATATATGCGGATATCTACTATAGTGATTTTGAATATATATATGCAGATATATAAGTGGATATATACTGTGATTTTGAATATGCGTATATGTGTTTATCAAGACTTCAAAAAGATGTTTATGTGATTTTGAATTGTAAGGCGTTGAAAGAGTGAATTAAGGGATTTGAATTAAAAATTAGTATGGGGTCCACAATAATTACAGAATTATGAGAATAATTTATGGAATTAAATATTTTATATTTAAAAAAAATAACTATAATAAATGTAAATGCAATAAATAAGGGTAAAATCGAAATTAAAATAAAATGGTAGAAATCTAAAAGTGTAAAATTAGAAAATTTTAGACATTTGTGTAAATAAGTTTCTAAAACAACCCTCCGAACACATTATCTCAAAATTCATTATACGGTAATGTGATGGTTGAAAAAGGTCAATTATAACCCAACTAATTATAACCCAACTAAGTCACAATTAAAGTTTATTATATTAATTTAAATCATTTCCATGATTTCTATAATATTTCTTAAATTTTTATTCACATCACATCTCTATAAAATAAAAACCCCCGATATTTTCCAACATTTCAAACCTTAGTTATTAAGCACCGCCAAACTTTCAAATATCCTTTTAATAAATTAAAGATCACTTTTTTAGTTTCGAATATTCTTTTAGTAAATTAAAGATCACTTTTTTAATTTCTATCATTATACATATGATTCATGTGAATCACATGTAACATGTGGGTGTAGTTTTTTCTTTCCACGTGAATGCAGGATTCATGTCAGTTTCTTTTTTTTTTCTCTTTTTAAATACTACTCTCTTTTAAAATTTGAGTAAATTTCATAAATAATATAATTTAGAATATAAATTACAAAAACATTGTACCCAAGTAATAATAAAATAAATGTAAATCAGATAAAAAAAAATTCCAAAACTACGAGTTTGTATACTAACTATTCACAAAATCATGCACTTCCTTATCAAGTATAAAATTGTGTACATCAGAACGCCATGGCGTACGACGTATCCAATTTATATACCCAGGATCCATCCATTAGCATAAATTTTGATTCTCGTGACGTTAAAAAATATGAAGAAACAATTTCGTGAACTTTTTTTTACGTCATTGTATTGCCCATTACGAAAGGGTATTCATGACATTTATTATAAATGGCATGGAAATGGATTTCACGACGAATAAAAAACGTCATACAAAATGGAATTAATGACATGTAAAAAATGTTGTAGAAAAGAGATTTTATGACGACTAAAAAACATCATTATATTTAATGACGGATAAAAAACATCACAAGAACTTTTCATGACAACTAGTAAACGTCACCATATAGTCAATTTTCTTCCAAATAAATGTAACAATGGTTTTTAGCCGTCGTGAAAACCCAAAAAATTTAATGTGATAATATGTTCACAAATATTGGATTTCGATATACTTATAAATTCTAAAATATAACAAAGTTGTATATAATAAAATCAAAGCATTCATATACATGCATGAATAAAATGTGTAAAATTTGCTATTACAATATTTTGTACATATATTATAATTAGAGAATGAAACATATATGTTTCACACACAGAGTCTATAGATCAATTATTTGCCTTCATAGTGTCTAACATCTTTGAATTGATGCAAGAACTAGTCAAGAAAACGATAACCCGTTGGTAAAAAAGATAAGGAAATAGATAAATAAAATTAAAAAAAAACTTTCAAATGCGTCCATGGTATAAATAAGGGTAATGCATCCTACGTGACAATAGCAAACATGTAGGAAGGAAGTAATTCAATTCTTAAACATATAACCAAGGTTTGAAATGTTGATGTAAATGGAATTGTCGAGGTCCCAATTTTACAGAAATGTCGATATCGAGGGATTTATTGGAAAAATCATGAAAATTGTGAAAAATGATGCAGATTTTTTGAATTAGTGAATAAGGCTTGTAACTTAATTAGACTATAATTGATCACATTTAACCACCATGTCTAAATATATAAGTAATATACTAATGGAAATGTCGACGAAGCAATGAAAACGTCAGAACAAAATCATGAAAATTATTTAAATTAATATGTTGAGAGTAAATTCGAGCAAGACGCGCATCGGACTTCGAGATCGACAACGAGGCACGAGACCACAATGGTTACCACCGTATACTGGCATGCAGGTACGTCGTCACCACTACTGTATGAAGAGGACGCCGAGGACTACCACCTAATACCTGTAGGCTGCAGGCTACATGCCTATAAATGGAGGAACCACCCACTGTTGGGGGCGTACACTCCACCGTCAGGACTTCGTACAGCTCGGCATCTCCTGCCACTTCAACTGTCGTCCTTCCTGGTCAGCCATCTGCACCTATAAAAGGGAAACCTTTACCAAGTAAAAAATCTGTCGTTCAAACCTAAGGTGTCTATCCTATTCTCTTACTTTTATTACTAACTTGAGCGTCAAAGTACATTAGGTAGAAACTGCACCAGCTCAAGTTTTCTGGTAGCAGGTTCATTTAATCCTTGGAGTGAATGTTGGTCCGACGGATATGTGGACCTCTTCCAAATTCGCCGTCAACATAGTGAATTAAAGTTCATGTTGCTTGATTGTGTTTTATTGATCATTTCTAATCTAATCTAATTTTTAGTTACAAAATTAAGGAAATAACTAATAAGAGGATAGATAACAACATTTCAACTTTAATTAAGAAACTAAGAATTATTTTGAATTTGAGATGATGTGAATTTGTCAACAAAACTATAATTATAATTTAGTTAAGCTACTATAGATAATTTTTAATCATCTTCATGAAAGTTAATAGTAATATTTTTATAGAAATGTCGAAGTCGACAAACAGTTTGGACAAAATGACGACAAACATATAAATTTGGATGGAAAATGTTGAAATTAGTTCATATAAAATTTATTGTAACTTAATTATGTTATAGTTTATTTTTTTTTATTTATTTTGTTTTAAGAAAAGAAGGGACTTTTATTAAGAAGAAATAAAATCTTGATTGGCCACAAGACTCAGCCAATCACGGATACAAGTAATCCAACATACAGTTTCTTCTAATTTGAAAGTCCCGTGAACAAGATACTGGATACAAAAATTTCAGTAAGATCATCATCTTCCCTTCACAATAATTTATCCATCTCTATCGAGTATATCTCCACCTGAATAAGATAAGAAACCATAAACTGGAGGTTCTGCATCCCTTCCAGAATAGCCATAGCTTCCAACATCTTCACACTCCTACAATTATCGACGAAATGGATGCCTGCAAGAATGATGACACATCCCCAGTTACGCAAGACCCACCCAAGTCCCCTTGCCTGCTGAGTCTCCGACCGAGCCGCATCAGTATTCAATGTCAGTCCAATCTTGTGTTGTTTTCAATAACGACTTTCATTGCATTGTGAATTCAGGGTCTGGGTATTAGGGCTTTCCTTTTGAAAACCACATTGTTCCTATGCATCGAGATTATCCAAGAATCAAATCGATTCTTTTATGAGTTAAAAATTGATATTTATACTTACCATATTTAAATAGATTTTAAATACCTTTTAAAAATAATTCATTAAAATTAGAAAATAAATTGAATGTGTGAATAAAAAATAATAAAGAACAAAGGAGAGAGGAAAAATGAGAGAGTAAAGAATGGAACCGAAAGTTGAAATTCGAATAAGAGCAAGAAGTTGCATATCTTCAAAATAAAAAAATAAAAAATAATAATAATATCACTTAAATAGTTAAATTACAAATTAAGTCCATAAAGTTTCAAAGTTATCAAATAGTTCTTTTTGCATCTAATATATTCCTAATCTATTCAATATTAAAAAAAAAAGTCATGAACTTATTATACACAAAATTGAAATTTCAAGATCCATTTTGCATCTAATAGATTCATAAATTAAAAAAAATGTCAAATAAGTCAAGAATCTATTTAGACATTTTTTAAATTCAACGAAACCTATTAGATGCCGTAAAAAGTTTAATGGCTAAATTTATAATTTAACCCTACACTAAAACCTTCTAAAACAGAAGTTCCATTCTCATATCACTTCTCCCTTTATTTCATAAATATATATTCATCATAGTCTACGGATAACCTTTTTCTTTGCAGCTTTGAATTGCTCCATCAAACATTTCATCAATTCCATACTTGTATTTGAAACCAGTATCTAAAAGCTTCTTCGACGAGACATCGGTGAATATGTAGCCTTTAACATCTTTCAAAGACCTGTGACAATTGTGTCGGTTTAGTCTATAAACTTTGAAAAGTTTTAATCATGTCTTCAAACTTTGAATTGTGATTATACATGGTCTTTGTTATTAACTAAACGATGATGTAATATGTCTAATCAATGAATATTGGCTAATTTAACCCAATGTGATAGACAAGTGATCAACTAAATAATCGTACAACCTATCTGTTAAACAAATGTTGCCTAATATAAATTTATATAATACGATGGGGGCAGAAAAACAACTTTTATATTATATTATATTATATATAAACTGAGCAAATTAAGTGGTGTAGACTATAGAAGAGATTTGATATCTTGGTGAATGGTAAGTACACATAATATTTTATTTTGTTATTAATAACTACCACTAGTTATATGTTTGTCACATTGTGCTAAATTAGTCGTTGTTTGTTCGATGGGCAGGTCAATGGTGAATAATAAAGACTAAACAGAATTACTTTTTGGATAAAGAAACTATTTCATTGATATATGAAATATGAGAATATAAGACCCAAGAAAAGGGCTACAAAAAGGCTCTCCAGTTAGATAAGAGAGAGGCATAACTCTAATGATGGAAAAGAGGAGAATATTTACACCAAGAGATAACAAAAAAAACTATAGATTCAAAAATGAGGTGATGTCTGCACTCCCAATCTTGGAAAATTCGCTGATTTCTTTCTGTCCATATCGTCCACAGTAAAGCTTGGACAAAATGATGCCAAAGGTAAAGTTTCTCTTTTTTGAAATGGTGACCATTGAGGGTATAATCGAGGAGCTTTGAGATATCCGTGGTGTGGTCAATTCAGTCGACCAACCAAACAAGTAAAGAAGCTTATACCATAAGTTTGAGGCCAAGTCACAACTGACAAAAATGTGCCCGATGGTTTCACCATGATGCTTGCACAAAATGCACCGGTGTGGGGAGATACTTATGAAGGGCATACGTCTTTGGAGCTTATCCTGTGTATTTATAGCATGGAGACTAAATTCCCAAAGGAAGAACTTAATCTTTTTGGGGTAGTGGTCCTTCCATATGATTCGGTACAGAGAGGGTGAGACCTGGGTTGTTGTTGACCGTTGTATGTCTTTGATGAGGGAGGAAGTACTGAAATGCCCATTTGGTTCCAATCTCGAGATAATAATGTCCCTGTTGGATGTGAGGCAGATTGTGGAGAGATTGTGCAAGAGAGATGTCAGCTCCATAATCTCTTCATCCTTTAGATGCCTTCTAAATTGGATGTCCCAAGAGTTGTCTATTGAAGACCAAAAGTCTTGTACAGTGCCCAATTTTCTATTGTGCAAGGCAAAAAGTTGGGGGTATGTGTTGCATGTGTTGCAGAGGGGTTATGTGTTGAGCCAAATATCTTTCCAGAATCTTGGGAGGGAGCCTATACCACTTTGTATGCTATTCTGTCAAAAAACAGGGGCTTATGGTTGTCAATGTCCCTCCACAAACCCTTGGTTCGGTTTGGTAGCTGGTTTCGGTGGTCTGTGATGGCGTATTTTGCTACAATAACTTTCCTCCATAGGGCAGAATCCTCCCTAAGAAATCTCCAGCTCCATTTGGCAAGACAGAATTACACTACAAAGTTCAAGAACATAGTTAAACTTTTTAACTTTTTAAAATTTAAAGACTAAATAGACACGACTACCAAAACTTATAAACTAAATTTGTTATTTACCAAATTTGTTATTTACCGTTGGGCTAAAGTTGAAAAAATAGGTGCAGTATATATATTTTTGAAATATTGAATTATATTTTTAATGATTTTTACGTTTACTCTTCTTCTACCTCTTTCTAACGAACAAAAACTCTTTTCTTCATAAATACTTCACGATCTCTCTTTCAACTTTTCAAACTGTTCGAATCATCATTGTCATTACCACTATAAAGAAGCTAACTCTAATCACCTCATCTACTTTCAGGTCTCCAGAGGTCGTTACAGCGAAGAGCCTCTCGTTTAATGGCCCCATTCAGGCCATTGGACCTCTCTTTGCCATCATTGGCAGCCTTATCTTCCCATTCATTTGGAGTGACATGGAGGTTGTCGGAGGTACACCATCATTGGCTTTCTTGTCTTCTTCGTCTACTTTGAGGTCGTGGGTTTGATGGTCATTTTGTTTATGGACAAGTTGCACAAACTACTATGTATTGTTACAATTGCACCTTTAAATTTTCAATTGTAGCAATCTAACTCTTAAACTTTTCTGAGTGAAAAATTTTGATACAGATCATCATATCGCTCTCTTCCCTGATTAATGTGAGCCTTTCTTTGTCCACCGACTCTAAGAACAATCTCCCCCTATCCTTAGTAACCTACCTAACCTCCTCCCCAATTTGTGCCTACCAACAAAAATGGAAGAGAGCAAAACACCCATTAAAATTATAGAACTCGTCAAAGAAGTGGAAAAAAAAAACAGAGAGGAGCAATTGTCCCTATTTCAAAATTAAAATTTTAAAGGGACAAGTGACGGTCGCTTTGTTCTTACCTAGGAGAGCTGTAGGTAAAGAAGTTCAATTAAGGCTGACTAAGCTTATGCTGGTCGTAGGTAAAGAAGTTGAAGAATCATATAGCTTATGTTGGTCGTGGGTTAAGACATTGAGGAGCAGATTTATCGAAGCTGTTCGACCATATTAAAGTAGCCGAACTAGAGAAGTTATTTTCAGTAGCATGAATGAATGAAATTTTTAAATAGAACCAAATTTTATTATTATTATTATTATTATTTTAATTTAAAGGTTTAATGTTTACCATTGAAAAGTTAGTTTACGATTTACCATTTTTTCTAATTTCAGTCGGAGTCTCGGCTGTCCTTTATCAACTTAAATGTAAATTTGCTGGTTTGTAATTTTAAAAGGTTCATTTGGATCTTTTTTTTTTTTTTTGTCCTCCTCGTTCATTTTGATCATTGTACTTTGAAGCCATCAAAATATTTGTTTTGATCATTATACATTTAAAAAGTGATCATATTGATCCCTAAATTTTATTTTTAATCTTATTTTTTCTATCAGAATTTTAACACGACACCAACTACCTTCAATATATTTATTAAAATGTAACCATAACTTTTACATCAAGAAGTTTTTGTTATGTGTAGAATTTATATTTTAAATTTTATATGTAGGAACTAAGATGATCACTTTTTAAAAGTAAAGAATAAAAATAAACATTTTAAAAGTACATAGCTTAGAATAAACAAAACTATAATTATAGAAACCAAAATAGTATTTTAACCGATAGAGATAGAAAAATTTAGAGGTGAAAATTTTATTCTAAAACAGAAGTTCGAGCATGCATAATAGTGAGGTCAGATGATACATGGAAACACAAGTCAAGCCATATCATCACATTTTAGTATCTTTTTGCAACATTCTCATATTCACTTCTCACTTTATTTCATAAATATATATTAAGGAAAAGCTAGAGATAACCCTTTTCTTTGCAGCTTTGAATTGCTCCCTCAAATATCTCATCAATCCCATATTTGTATTCGAAACCAGTATCCAAAAGCTTCTTCGACGAGATCATATGATTGCTGACTTTGACATAGGTTTTGACATCTTTCAAAGACCTGCAACCAAGTTCGACAAGTAAAGCCTCTATTTTTATATGGGTTGTGTTTGTTTAGCCTATAAACTTTGAAAAGTTTTAAGTATATCTTCATACTTTTTAATTATGATTCTACATAAGTCTTTGATGTCAACTAAACGACGATGCAACATGACAAGTGAATAAATGTTGACTAATTTGACATAACACTACATACAAATGATTAAGAATATAAGATAAATACTCTACCATTTAACAAGGATCATGCAACATAACCAAAATACGACATGGAAGACAAATAACTTTATATATACAAATTGAGCAAATTATGTGGCGTATACTATAAAAAGAGATTTGATATCTTGCTCTAAAAAGGGTAGTTCCAAGTTATATTTTATTATATTATTAATGACTACCTTCTGTCATAGGTCAGTCATGTGCTAAATTAGTCATTGTTTGTTCGATGGAATAGGTTAATGGTGAATAAATAGACACAACTCTTTAAATTTTAAAAACTAAATAGACACAGGTATCAAAAGTTCATAAAGCAAATTTGCAATTTAATATTTTTTTAATCATTTCATAAAGGAGAAAAAAGACTTATAATGACTTCGAAAACCAATAAGCAAATAAACTCACTCAAGAGATGGTATCTGAAATTTTGGGTATTTGGCTGAAAAGAATTTAGCCATTTCCTCCAATGTCATTTTGTGAGAAGTGCAAACATATCTTCCGTTCGCATTTGGATGTTCGAAAAGAAAAATGTGTGCTCTGGCCACATCATCTACATGCACCATGTTTATATTTAAAAGGAATCCATATAATGCCTCGGTACCTGCACATATGAATTTTGAGTCATGATTCTTGTTTATCTTTGTCGTTAACACTATCAATAAAATACCATTGTAACATGCTCATTAGTTGATTAAGATATATGTTATGTTAAGCTAACTCACCCAAAATTAATCTAATAAGTATCACATCAATATTTTTCACATAATTGACATGGAGTTAAAACTTTAGTTAAATTTCAAATACAGTCCCTAAACATTAATAGATCTCTAAACTTAAGAAAAGTGTCTAAATAGATCTTGAAACAATCAATTTTGTATCTAACAAAGCATGAACTTTAGGAAGTGTCTGGTGGGTACTAACAACTTTCAATTTTGTGTCTATTAGATCCAAGATTTATTAAACAATGATCAATTTTGTGTCTACCAAACCTATCAGAGGTTTTTAAAGTTCAAAGACATTTTAGACCTTTTTTAAAGTTTTAAGATCTTATTAGACACCTTATAAAGTTCCATGACCACATAACCATGAAAGTTCATGGATCATGTTAATAACTTACCCTAAAACTTTTTAAAGTTTGGAGCCTAAAGACTAAAGAGACACATTATTTAGGTTTAAATACCATTCGTTCTTGGTACTTTTGGCTTTAATTCATTTAATTTCATTTTTGTCCCCATACTTTTAAAATGACCATAACTTTTAATTTTTGTTCATTTTAATCCCTATAAAAAGTGACTATTTTGGTTCCTATTTCTAAATATTTACACAAACTATATATACCATCAACGTTCTAAAAGTAAGAACCAAAGGAGAAAGTAAAAAGAACCAAAATAATGCTTAAACTCATTATTTAATAAAGATGCAAGTAGAATTATGTCTCCAGCAAGCCAGTAGGATTCAATGAAAGTTGTAACAAATTATAGTAAGATAAACATTAAAAGATCATGAAACAAAAAGCAACATAAAAATTACCGAAAGGCAGAGCCAGTGTCCTCACGACAGAGCCGGGAAGCTTAGGACAAATGAAAGGACCAGTAATGCAAGTTGGAAGAACAGTGACAACTTCCAATCCATGTTGTTGGGAGAACTCAAGAGCTGCTCTTTCAGCCAATGTCTTGGAAATTGCATAAGATCTTAAAAATGGTACTTGACCATTAATGACATCAACGTCACTCCAACAGCTTTCATCCAAAAAATCCACTTTGTTGGGAGTAAACAGTATACAAGATGCACTAGAAGTGTATACAACTCGTTTCACTGTTTTGGAATTCAGGGAAATTTTCAAGATCCCCAATACTCCATCGATTGTTCTTCTTTTCACTGTTTCGATAGGTTCTTTGTCCCCATGACTTGTGTTAGCAAGATGAAAGACTCCAATGCAACCTTCAATGGCAGGGCCAAAACTGTCCGGATCGTCGAGATCGGCATGGTAGATCTGGAGTCTTTCCGATGCTTCGGGTAGATTTGTGAGAAAGCTATAGTCTCTTTTCTTCTCTGCTCAATGTCAAATTGTAAACAAGTTTAGACGAGGAATTAGGAAGAGCTTGTTTGTTCTAGCTTCCTCGTTCCCATTTCATGCACCACAAGGCCATTATTTAGTTTCATACAACTTGACACAAGTTATATTAGTTAATCTAATGCGCCTCCACACACAAAATAAAGAAACAGAAATGGGAAAAAAGTTTCCAAAAATTGGTTCACTGGAAACCTTTCTCAAAATTTAGAAACGAGAAACCGCCGACATGAAACAGGATTAGGAAACGGAAACGTTATCAAACTTGCCCACAACAGCCCTTATCTTGTTTCTTAATTCCAATTTTTAAAACCATTCTCAAAATTGTATAAAAATAAAAAAAAACGTTAACAAACAAACCCGAAACAAGCTACGCCTTAAAATCTTCTCTGTTGTTCATGAATCATGAACAATCGAAGTTATAGAGGTGTGGCAAAGGGGTGGTTTACCTGGGTCGGATCTTACAGTGGCATTGACAGAGTAGCCACTCTCCAAAAGCTTCTTCACGAGCCATGAGCCAACGAATCCAGTGGCTCCGGTTACACAAACTTTGCCCTTCGCCCCGCCTTCCATTTCTGGTTTTGTGTTTCTTTGCCGTCTGCAGATTCAATTATACTGAAAAATGCGGCCATTTCTATTTGGGAGTTAAAATCTTAATCTACTCTGATCAGTTGAATTGATTGGGACGACAACAAATAAAATAATTGGTGTAATTGGAGATAAGGTTTAGGGTTTATGGCTGTCGTTTACCACGCGATACTTCTGCTCTGCTGATTGGGGGACACTACACAAATTTTGGGGTTTTTATTTTCTGTTTACTGTTTTAAAAAAAATAAAAATCATATATTTGATAAATGTTTTTTGTTTTTTAGAAAAATAAAAAATTAAATATGTTTCATAATTATTTTTTGTTTTCTGATTTTTAAAAATCAGATAGATAAACTCATTCTAGTTTTGGGGTAAATTTTAAGTTCCCATCTCTATCTCATTCTTATGAGAATTTAGATCCAAGTAGAAAAATACTTGTTTGGGGATGAGAATCTTCGAAGAAAATTTTTATTTAGAATTTAAAAATTAAAAATGAGTAATAAATACATAAAAATTATATCAGAAAGCAAAGAAACTCAACGAAGAAATATATATGCCTAGATACTTTATTCTATGGATAAAGGATCTAATTGATAGAAGAAGCACCGTAAAGATCAATTAGTCAGGTTTTTGGCCGATACAATAAAAACTACTTACTTATATCATGATATAAGATCAAAATGAAGGAATCCACTTATGTAATAGGGTGGATCCCCTACGATATTGAGCAGGTAACTCACTATAAGCTCGAGAAACAAAGAGAAAATGAGTACGACGAGATATACAACAAGAAGAAGAAGCAAAAGGAATGAATAGAGGAACTCCCGAACATTTAGCGATCTCAGATGTGTCGATATCGACGGTGACTCATTATTTCGATGAATCATTTCTTCGAACAGAGGAAGATTATGTAAACACTTTGAAATTATTATTTACTAGTATAAATGATTAGTTTTAAAAATATTTAATAGTTTATTCCTATTTAGTAAATATAGTTAATAAAATATATGTTTATTATTAAAAAATGAATTAGGAACGGAGTTGGGGCATGGTGGGAAATTAAAGGGCTTTTTGCTCACCAATGAGTACGTGTCCCATAGTCGGCTACTTTACAAGGTTGAAAAACTCGTATATTCCTGATGCTTTTTTGTTATTGGAGCGAATGCCTGATCTGCGGTGATTTTGTTCAGAAAATAAAAGTTTAAAGAGATAAAAATAAATTTTTTAACCATAAATTTAGTTAGATAAATAAAAGGATTTAGACCAAAAAAAATTAGTGACAAAATAAAATATTAGGAAAAAGAAAATTTATAGTAAGAAAAAATTTTAGAAGAAAAAATTTGAAGTATATTTGTTAGAAAAAAATAACAAATAAAAAGAGAAATAAAATTTATAATAAAATAAAATTGAAAAAGAAAAAATTTAGATAAGGAAAAGCAAAAGAAAAGAAAGAAAAGAAATGAGATTTTAAAAATAAAAATCTGTTTTTAATTTTAATTTTTAATTTTGTTATAATTTCACAAACATCAAGCCTGTTTTTAAAAAATTAAAAATAAAATTTAAAAAAAAAAACAAAACAAATATCGAACGGTGTCTTCATCCCTATGCTACTATTATTTAACAATTTACCATTTAAATATCTCTCTTATTTGTAAAGAAATAAAAAGATAAAAAAAAATTGTGGATAGCAATAATTGTAACAAGTTAAAGATCACTTTTTAATACGTATAATTCTTAAAGATTCACGCGAATCCACACTCACGTGATTCACGTGAATGTAGTTTTTTTTCTCATTTTTTTTTGTGAATTCATACTCACGTGATTCACGTGAATGTAGTGTTTTTTTTACAAAGTATAAAATGCAATTATATACCTAAAGTATATATCAATAAGAAACCTACAATGCTACTTAAACCAAAATCTCCAACTCGAAAAATATTTATCAGTGATATACTTCGTCCATTAAGAAAAATGTTAAAATACTATTTTGGTCTCTGTACTTTTAGCTTGAGTTCATTTTAATCCATGTATTTTTAAAATGTTCATTTTGATCCTTATATTTTTAATTTTGGTTCATTTTAGTCTCTGTATTTTGAAAATGTTCATTTTGGTCCATGTAATTTTAAAAAGTGATTATTTTAATCTCTCTTTGCAAGATTTTAACACAAATTTTACACATAACGGAAATTATTTAGTATAAAGTAATGTTTACATTTTAAGAAATATATTGATTGTAGTGTGGTGTTGAATTTGTGAAAGAAAAAATGAGATTTAAAATAAAATGAAATGACTTAAAATGGTCACTTTTTAAAAATACAGAGATTAAAATGAACATGAACTAAAGTAGAAAGTACAGAGACCAAATTAATATTTTAACTTAAAAAAAATATTGAATCCTCAATAATGATGAGGAATATTGTCCTCATCACCTTTAAATATTTGACAACTTATTATTATTTTTTTAAAAAAATCTATTTTTGCATGTCTCTCTCTCAGTTATCAAACATTTAAGGATGAGGAGGACATATTTTGTAGGACACTTCAGTTTAGATAACGTGTCCGTGTCGAATACTTTGACACGCTAACGACACTTATCATACACTTGTTAGCTCAATAGATGTATGTCAAACACTCACTATATAATTGTACAAAGTGAAATGGATTCTATCAAACACTTGTTAAACATAAGAAATAAGTATAAATAGCAATATAGGACAAAATAATAAATTTTGAGAGTAAAATACATCAAACTTATTCTTTTAAGCATACAAATATATAAACTTATAAACTTTGAGTTTCCTTGCTATATAAAAATTATATATGCTTAAAAAAATAGTATTTTTTAAAAAATGTGTCATTGTCATATGTCCGTGTCCTATATTTAAAAAAAATGATGTGTCATATGTATGTGTTATGTCGTATTCGTGCTTCTTAGCTTACAAGTCCACGTGTCAAATCCATCTTCATCGCCCATCTTTTAAAAGTCTTAACATTTATCTAAGAGTTGTTAAAATTGTCGGAGTTATAAGTAATAGAGGACATCTTCATTGGTATGATATATTTTGGATGAAACCAAAAGTAAAGTCATCAGAGTTCATGTCCCAGATGAAATACTTTGTCATTGTGAAAATGTGAAAGATGAGTTGTTGTTAATCAATTGTACTAAATTTTAATAATATGCTTTAAATTTTTCAATTCCTAATAAATTTCCTGAGAATTTATAAAACAACGACATTACCTATTTTATTGTTAATTATCATCTAAGTACATATAGTTTATAAAAACATTACTTCCATAGAAATTGAAAATACATAAAAAATTTGAGTTTATTTAAAATAAAAGCTGCCTCAATAGAGGCGAAAGCGAACATAGTTTAACAACGTCTGAAAAATTAAAATAAGTATTAACATTTGAGGAGTAATTTAGAAATAAAGTCGATCTTTAATCATCAAAACTATATTTAATTTACCTTTTATCTTTTTATTAGGAAGTGAAATAATGGATCCAAATTTAGAAAATCAAGGTTAAGACAGGTTTCTTATTTCGTCCTAATGTTTGGCCAGGGTATGATTTAATCATTTTTAACTAAAAGTTTGTTGGGCATGAAATCTTGGTATTAAGCCTTTGTCGACATGTCGATCGATATTTTCATATATCCATGAGTTGAATATCGATATAAAGGATAAATCGACATTTTCATTAATATTAATTACAAAATAAATCGATAAGATATGAAAAATATCAACAAAATGTCACTGATATATACATAATATTAATATTAACTATTTTTAATGTTTTTAGAAATAAAAAAATATTTATTTGTTAATTTAAATATTTTTTTCGATTTTTTATTTTCCTGACTTTTAAAGAAATATACATCGACATGATCGACATGATCAACATTTAGAACCTCGCATGAAATGGAGAGAATATTTTTTTTAAACCTTTTTCAATAAGTACTTAGGGGACGGATTTCTCAAGTCTTTGGTAAGATTGACAGCATTTTTCGTTTTGAGTTTTGTTTTTTTTAGAAATTTTGGAGGTCTATAATGGACATCCGAACCATTTTGAATGAAATAGAATTAACCTTTTACCTTTTTTTTTTCCTTACTAAATGCGAAATTTACACCTAAATGAAGAGATCTATGTAATTTTAACCAATATAGCTCCTATCTATGGAAGAGCTTCTAAGTTCATCCACAGAAGACCTCTTTAAGCTTATTTACCGTCAAGCTGCAAAGCTAATCGTCGGAAGAAATTTTAAGCTCATCTATGGATGGGCTCCTAAGCTCATCCACTGTCGGGCTCCTAAATTCATCTACGTAAGAGCTCCTAAGTTCATCTACCGTCGAGTTCTTCAATGACAAATTCTGACGCCATATGGTTTCGTCAACAGTGCGCACAGAAGAGTTTACTTATCTGAAAACAGTTTACAATTGATGGGATGAGTAACTACCCCTCAATTCCCTATAAATACACATTCACTCCACTCAATCAAGTATGCAATTTTTGTCTGAAACTGATCTATCAAACTCGAACTCAGACTAACTTGAGCATCAGAGTGTTCAAGTCTTCCTCCTCCATCTCGTTTCACATAAGCTCGTTCGAGAGGTCTTCCCTCTCAAGCTCCACTATATTTGGACATATTATTATATCAACAGTATGATAATCTTATTTTGATTTTTTTTAACTAGCAAATCAATGAATCGAAATCCTAAGGGTCATATTTGGAAAAGGGCCAGAAGAAATAGTTCAATAATTTTATTTTGATTTTTTGAACTAACAAATCTATGAATTGAATAATTTTCATAAACCTTTCATTTATGAGGGGAAGAATAAGTTGCAGGAAGAGCCCCATGTTTGCATATAATTGAATGTCTAGAAACCTCCTCTGGATTAAGATCAACATGAAAGGCTGAATGGGTAGAATGATTGGTGAGACACAAAACAGCGAAGTACATCTTCCAAAATATATATATATATATATATTTAAAATTTTAATTACAAATTTAATCTGTAAACTTTAAAAGTTAGGGTTAATCATTCTTAAATTTTAAAAAATATCTAATAGATCACTATGTTTACATTTTGTGTCTCATACGTCTATAAATTTTATCTTCCAATGTGAGCATAATTTAATTGAGT